ATATATATATATATATTATATCCACAAAAAATAGGTTAATGGTCCAATTTCCACCCCGCCTCTGAGTAGGGGAAAAAAAGGCTTTCATGGGACCCGGCTACTCTTGCCCAGGCCATTCCAGCAGCAAGCAGACGAGATGAAGCAAAGGCTCCTGAAATGGTCTTGGGGGAAACCATGAAAATGAATAATGGAGGTGAAATGACCAAAATCTGATTTATATAGGATTTGAATCACATTTGTTTATTACATTTTTTGTTGGGGGGGAAGGTATCAAGACTCAACTTAAACCTGACTTGGGATTGGGTGAAATTAATCCAGATGATTGACAGCATCAACTGCATCAACAGGACATCTCAAACCCAAGATGCGGACACCGCCAAGTTTTTTTTTGAAGAGCAACAACAGCACCTTGATTCCTCTAGATTTTTCCTCGAATCAATTGAAGAATCAGCTGTAGAAAAGTACCCCCGCGTTTTGCAGTGCAAATCGCCCCATACCTGGATACATGGAGAAGAAGTTTGGACATGGAATCTTAATCTTATGTGAACTCATGAAGTAGCTCGAAAATGCTCGAAATACCTCATTCATGAAGAGTTTTGCCATGGAATGTTTATCCAATTGATGAAGCTCTGTACAGGCAAGCAACTGATATGGCTTGGTCGGAAAGCAGGGTACCCCTCCATCTAAATCCATTGATTGATTCATCATGTTTCCCCAAAAAAAGTCATCGAATGGCTATGGATACAGTGGGTATATCCCATGTGGCTATGCATCCCACAACATGGGATGAACCAAAAAGCCAAAGATATTGGCACAGTAGGACACCTGGTCCAATGGTGAAAAGTTGGAGTTCTATGGATTAAGCATTTTAGGGACTGGGTGATGTTTCCCTATTAGTTGGGCTTCAGAATTTCCATTGAGTAAAATTGCCAATTGAATTGTGGGATGGCCATGAGCCCATGGCACAAGTTCATTTGGGGAGCAACATGTGCCCATCAAGTTACAGTACCCAGCTTCAGCTCTTTTGAACTTGCTATGTGTCCCCGTCTGCCATGCGACGCCAGATATACTGACGAGCTTGAGAAATATAAGAAGGAGGACCGGGTTGAAGTCGGTATTTATATGTATTTATTTAATGCAATGATATTTATATCCGGGGGCAGAAATTTGAATGGGATGATCAAAGGAAGATTTTGGGATTTGGGACTCAGGGCCCAGGGTTTATTTCGACAGGTGAATCATGGTGAATCGGTGACGGGTAGAGCTTTTGGGCTGTGAATGGCCCCGGGGAATTCCTTGGTCGAGTCACATCATGTTCAAATCCGATGTTTGGAGGTTTATATATCATTATAATTATGGAATAATCATTAGAGAATCTAGATTTATAGTTACTGGGATAAAATCTGAAAATCTGATAATCATTAGATAATTGACTCTTTTCCCAGCCACACATGGGATAATCACATGGATAATCCCTGAACAAATATCAAAACATGGGAGAATGAACTTTTTAAAAGTCACATCAGACAATCCCATTTTTTGGGTCAGCCATCCCACTACCTCGCCTGAAGGAAAACATCCCAAAACTCTTTGTTTGAAGGGTAGGAATAAATCATCATAAATCCCCTTAACAATAAGCAGTTGGCATGGGATGTTTCCCCCTAACCATCATTCGGAATCCCCTTTTAAATAAATCATGATAATCATAATCATAATAAATCATCATTTGCCTAGATTATTATAGAAACAAACATAAACAATACGAAGGGACAGAGATCAAGATTTGGTACCGTATTCCACCTGGATGGTCACTGATGATTAGATACAGCCACGGAAGAAAATCCCATTCTTTGCTACACACCCATTGTTTTGGTTGGTTCGAGGTACCTTTATATTGCTGGATGATGCAAAATGCATCTATTTTGCTATTAAAAAAAGTTTGTTTGCATTGTTTTTTGCTGCCGAAACCACAGAAACCAACACGGTTCCTGGTTCAAAACACATGGTAATGAAGCAGAACAGCATAACCTAAGACTAAGTCCATAGAGTTTCATGGTGATTAATGGTGATTAATGGTGATGAATGGTGATTTATGATAGTTCCCATATGTAACATATGTATGTATGTATATATATATACATATACCATATTAGATCCCCAGTTCGATCTCGGTCTGCTCCTGAGTCGTCCTCATTGCGTTGAGGACAACGAAGAGCTGCTTCTTGGTTCCTCCAGCGGCGCGGTGACGCGCATCAAAGTGAGTCTGGGGGCCTGGCGGGTCCTGGATCATGGGGATTTCCATAAATGAGGATACCCCAATAGCTGGATGGTTTGTTTTATGGAAAATCCTGTTAAGATGGATAATTTAGAGGTATCCCCATTTTAGGAAACCTCCATATAATGAATGTAATTATACTGAAGGAAGATTGAACATGGTCCATTTTACCCACAAGAACGGTGGTATAGTGGTATATCTAAAATTTAGCGAATACGAATATATTATAGTTATATTGATATAAATATATATATATATACGTATGTATAGTCGGAATGACAAGGGTGATGTTGCCCTCCAGTAGCCCAAGCCATGCGGAAAACCCATGGCGAAATCCAACGAAAATTCGATGGATTTCACAGCTGCAGAAGAGATACGGAGATTACGATTACTGGTACCCTCTGGTAAATTGACATAGACCCTGGCAGATAGGGGTTGGAAGACTAGTTTCCATTAAAAAAATGTGATTTTCAGGGTCTATGTTAATTTACCAGGGGGTAAGTTAGCATAGATATGGACCATCACATGATTTTATTGGCAAATCAATACCAATCATGGGCCAATAAATGTGATATTATAGATTAGTTATAATAGATATTAGTCATAAATGATCAAATGGGCCATTGTCCATAGCAAGCTGTGACATATTGTTAAAACATACAAATTGTTGCCTTTAGCAACGAACAGGCCATGCCAAGCCATGGCGCTTGCCATGGCGCTTGCCATGGCGCTTGCCATGGCGCTTGCCATGGCCCGGTTTGATGATTGACCTATCAAAAATGAGATTAGTCCATAACAGGATTACTACGGATAACAGGAATATATATATATATCATGGACATTCATGGAAGCATTTGGATGATCATGGACATATATGACCTATATGACCTATGAATAACTGCAGGGATGATTTTCAAACTGCGTTCACGTTGTCAGGCGGCCTCATCCAAACTAAGAAATGCCTTGGGGTTTTTGTTGCATGGTCAAACATGTTCACGGCTGACATATGATATTTGAAAAACTCTTGCTGGAAATTTACTTTTGTATATATGGAAAAAACATATTTGTATTTGGATATGGTTGCTTGAAAAACACATAAACATTCTAGATATTTCCCGGCTGACCTGGTTTTTCACCTGGTTTTTCTAGGCAGCCCGCGACCTGAGGTTCTGTGCTGGTAACAAACCGGCTGATTCGAGGTCGACGATGAGTTGAGGGATGATTACAGCAGTATTGGTGAACTATCTCGATTTGAAATCATTTGAATGTGCTCAACCCCTGTTGGTGGATGATTATGGAGGCCTTTACTACCCAAATCTACCCAACATTGAATGAGGATTGTCATGCTCGTTCAATACTCCCTGCCCCCCTGAAATTGAGAGTTCCACCCAATCAAGATAATCAAGACCATTGTTTTGTATTACTGTTTGTATGTGATTGTATGTGTATGTATGTGTATATAATATTTTATATATGTATATCTAATCATGTATATATAATACACTGTATTTGATGCTATTATATACGTTTCATTTCAATGTATAATTATAATATAATATGCACATATATATACCTAGATCTTCATGGATGCTTTAATTTTAGTCGCTTCAGGAAAAGCAGAAATTTCAGCTCTTGATGTCACAAAAGTGCCGCTGATGGAAAAAATTGCCGCCAGCCCCGCCGGCACTGAGTTACCCAAAACACAACAGCCTCACAATTTGTACCCCTGAATCAAAAAGATAATGGTCAACATCATTCAAGTTCTTTCAGCTGTTTGATTGCAATAAATATTCCTATTTGGGTATATAACGATGATTGAGATGGCCAATGTTGCAGGTCAATGGGTTGCCCTCTTCTGAAACACATCCAAGTGGTTTACCTAATCGATGGCGTTGGATCCCAAAGCCTCAACCCAAATCCCACTTCAACAGCTCTTTCGCACCGGACATTGCGATCGATGACATCGCATTTCTGCAGGGCAGCCCAGATCACCGGGTGATCCTTTGGCATTTCAACTTCATTTGTTGTTTCCTGAATCGTCGGTACACCGATTTGGCCTTTGTCAAGTAGAGCTGAAGAGCACGTGGCGAAGCAGTCCGAGCTGACACTCTACGAATTAGTCTTGAAATTTTTCCCACTATGTCTTCATTCATTTCACATCCGAACAGCTGCAAATTTGGGACGAGGGAAGCATCTCTGTTTTGTAGTACCTTCAATACATCAAGTTTCGCATGGCAGATCAGGTGGTACTTAGATTTCATACCAAAACCAGTAAAGCCATACTTGTGCATCGCAAGAAAAGCACAAGCATTGTAATTGCGAGCAAATGCATGCATTTCTTTGTACAATTTGCCACCGCAAACTTTGTTCAACCATAGGTGGTGGGAGTAGCAGATCCTTTGTAAGGTTCTGGCTGAGTCAGCTGCATTCACCATGTGTTTCAAAACAGTCGAATCTTCATCCTTCAGCGGTGCGTTTTGAAACCCAACGAGCATAGTATGCACCCAAGCCAGCAAGTGTGAAGTATCAGACCCCTTACAGTTCACCCAAGGGAACGCATGCCATGAAGGACTGTTGAAGAAAGAGAGGGAAAAACCTCTGAGCGCAGGTGTCCTCCCAGTGGTCTTGCAAAACCAGCGAAAATGAAAATAGGCCCTGTCCAGCAAGACATCACGACGATTACTTTCACCATCCACATCAAAGTAGTGCATCTTGGCCAGGAGCATCACGCAACTGGCAATGAAGTCTCTGTATATACTCCCTGCTTCGTATTGTGGAAAATGTCCCGGCGAAAAAACCGTTCGTAGGGAGGATTATCATCCCCACCTTCGTATTCAAACGGTATGTGACACAAAATTGGCTTCACAGAAAAGGGACGGACAGTGTAACAAGTTGGACCCCACAACGGCTCATGGGTTGAGTCTTCAAATGGTAGCTCAGGAGTACCTGCCATGCATTCATGGCACATTGGTTTGCCAATGGAAATTTGGGAGCCAAATGATCGCTCAAGTTCAGCAATACGCTGCACCCATTTCAAGTCCCCTTTGCTGCCAGTACATGCTCCAAACCACCGACGGCCACCACTGCAAAATCCAGTTTCAAACAAAATGTTGAAGTCCCGGACGATCTCAGTCAAAACTGCATCTACTAATTCCTTGTTCTTCTTAGGAAGCGCAGCCAAAACAAATTTTGTCAAGAAAGAATGCTGTTTCAAGTTCGTAGTCTGATAGCAGGCAGGGTTCATGGCTGAAGCTGGGGCACTATGGTCCAAGCGTAACCTTTTCCTGGCTGGCTCATCAAGGCTACAATCCTCGCAAGTCGAAGCACCCTTTTTGTTGACCCAGTTGGCCCAAGTGTCCAACCCCACGCAAGTCTCCATCATAAGAATGGTGGTGTTGCCTCTTTTCAAACCACGTCCCTCATCTCCATGAATCGCCAAAGCAAAAGTGTTGGATAAAGAACGCTCAGACTTTTGTTCTTTGAAAAGACAGTGTGTCGGGTGTATATGGGAATAAGCTTTCCAGAATGATTCCAGCTGCGCTTGCCCATCATCCAGGTTGGGGCAACCACCCATCAACAATTCAGGTGCTTTTTGTGTCAAGTAGTTCAAGAAGTCCAATGGTTTGATGTAAGCAAATTTCACTGTTTCACCATCATGCTCCACATCCACATAGGACAATGGAATTTTCCAAGTCAAGCCCCATTTGTTGATAAAATAATGTGCATCACGGCTTGCATTTTTGCGACTACGTTCTCCGCTGAGACCTGGCTGCACCTCCTCTCTTGCTACAGCAGCAAAATGAGAAAGTGTAGCAGCTGGAGCCTCAGAAGCTACCAGGGTGATGGGCTAAGACTGGCCAGCTTCATGGTGGTATGATTCAAAAGGGTATCTCATCCAAGATGTTTGATTTTTCCCCACCTGCCAGGTGAGGGTTGTTAGATTTTATGTCAGTTGCCTGCTCCTCTCCTCTCCTCCTCCTCCTCCTGCTCAACCGCGATCCACGCTCAGTGTTCCCTGCCGGACCTCAACCACGACCATCCCCGCCCAGTGTTCCCTGCCGGACCTCAACCACGACCATCCACGCCCAGTGTTCCCTGCCGGACCTCAACCGCGAGTATCCACGCCAAGTGTTCCCTGCCGGACCTCATGTAGGAAGATATGGGACAAAGAATGTGCAGAAGAAAGTTAGAAAGAATGTCAGACAAGTATGGTTAAGCAAACCTGTTGAGAGCTCTGGAGTTTACTTCACATGGCCCACTGACATGTTTATATCCTGTTTGACAGACTGACATGCACAATGACCTGCCAGGTGAAACAAATGATTGGGATAGTTAGTTGGGCAAAAGTCCCGTGACAAAAGCTTCAGACAAAAGTGGTGTCAACAAGCTGTTTTGAAATGTCATGGTGGGGATCACTCGAAGCAAAGTAATTTATTTTTTGCTGGGATTTAAGTTTTGAGTCCCCAACGCCATCAGCTAAAACCTCCGCATAGTTGTGCGCAGTTTCTCCAGGCGGTTCTGGTCGATGTTGGGCACCTGGCAAGAATTAGGGTCAGGCAAGAATAAGAGGTGGATTGATGTCAAGGGGCTGCCCAAGATCTTTGCCCAACAGTAATGGTTCCCACACCAAATCCAAGCGGTAGTGGTAGTCCTCTCTTTGTTGTTGTTTTGAGACCCAAATGACCCAACCAGAAAAAAAACAAGGTAAGGGATAAGCCCACTTCAGCATTCCATGATCAAACAGCACCCATTTTTGAAGCAGCTGGGAAAGCCAAGCGTTCTCGATGATTTCATGGCACATGGATAGTGCCCACATCATAGTTGGCACGACTGAAGATGAAATGACTGAAAAATATAACATCTTTTTGTGTTTGAATTACACAAATCCAACCATGACTGTGGGTAGCAGACTCCAAAGCCCAGCTCGAATTGCAAATGGCACTGGATTGCGACACACGCTTTACCCCAGCGTGCGTGGCACGAAAGATACCAAACCTAGACTTTAAACATTTTACTGCTGCCTGCGCTTACCTTTGCCCTGGCCCTTGCTATGGTCAGGGGAACGGTGTTCTTCCTTTGCCGCACGTCTGCTCTGAGGTTTCGGCTTCGGCTTCGCCTTCCCATGGGCCTTCGCCTTCGCTTTGGGCTCAGCAGAGGTCTGCTTGGGCTGAAAAGGCCTGACAGAGTAACACAAGTCAAAAGGCTAAGCTTCAGCTGAAGATATTACAGCCCAAGATTGTTTTAACATTTTTTTTCAAGATGTTTATTTGCCAAGCTTTTGGGACTTGAGAAGAATCCCTGCCTGGCCCTGGCTTCGAGTGCCAACGACGATGCCGCCCTGCCAGAACATTGCAGCCCCTTCGCTGTTGTTTCAATTTCAACACATGTGAAAAACATTAACGGGTGATTTGGGGGATCAACTATTGTAAACGAAAATGCTGAACCCCCACCTGGTCATAGCCTTGTCAACCAATTTCTTCAGATCTTCCTCTTCCCTTGGCCAAGAAAGAAAGCTATGTCAAGTGGTTGAATACTGTTTAAGGCCCAACACCATGCAATACTTGTCACTATGTACAAGATATGCATTGGACAAGCAACTCTCTCTTGAATCCTTGAACCACACCCTTGGAGTAGGCATTCGATATCTCCGTGTGAATCTCCTCTAGCGATGTCACTGAAGCACTCAGGGCCGCTGCCAGCCTGGGATGAAGGATGTTCAGTTAAGAGGGGGCAACAGGAACAAAGTAAACTAAGCTGTGGTAATAGCCAGCAGTTGTCCCAATACAGTTTCAATCAAAAGACCTGGTTTGCACTTCTGTCAGCTGCCCATCTTGTGGAGCCACAAACTTTACCTTGAATGCGGCGACCTTGCTGATCCGCTTTGCCAACGCAGTCCTCAGATATCCAACATAGGCCACTACCCCCAAGTCATGGAGATCCAGATTAATTCCTTAAGCCTAGGGAGTTTGATGTCAAGTTTCAGATACTTGTTCAGGGATGCACTGGGTAAAGCATCTGGGTCAGCCTCCGGGATGCCAAGCTGTTTCCTCAACTTGATGCCTGCATCGTCATTGGTGTCGTCATCCGACTTCGTCAGGTCAACATCATCATTGCCTGGAGACCAGGAGGGCAAAGGGCTTGGCAGGACGAGGTTGGAAGTTCGTGGGTTAGAGAATTTTAAAAAGGAAGGCGCCAAAAACTGTCCACAACACCATTTTGGTCCGACCTGTTCGACCATAAATAACATGAGGGTTACCCAGGTCCCAGTAAGTAATCTAATAGTCTGTAAGTAATTAATACATGAAAACGAATTGTACAGATAACGGTACTTGGTCTGGCCTTCTTGTCCATCAGTAAAGGGGCCCTCATGGCTGAGGGACATTCCACCAATACCCTTCTCATGCAAGCGGGCTCGCTTCGTGACCTCCACTCGGGAGGCTTGCCTGGGATTTCAAAGGTTCACCGATTCCTACTTTACGTGATTAATGAATGCTGGTTCTTTTGCTGGTCAGAGAAGGGGTGGTGGTGCAGCCACGAAACTTGTAGCTTCCCTTCACGGCCTTCTCGACATAGAACAAGGTGATTTGTTGGTAGGTATCACGCCTGCAGGAGCGGGGCACCGAACATATTCTTTCTTTAACTGATGACATGCATGAATATATAATCCAAAAATAAAGGGCAAGAAAGAAGAATGAAAGAAAGAACAAAAGATAAAAAGGTAAAAGGATGGACGGATGGATGGATCGATAGATGGATAGATGGATGAATAGACGGATAGATGGATGAATGGATCGATAGATGGATGGATAGATGGATAGGTGAATAGAACAAAAAAACAAATAAATACATAGATAGATCAATAAATAAATGGGTGGATGAATAGATGGATAGATGGATAGAGGGATAGATACCGAGATGGATAGATGGAAAGATAGTCTAGGTAGATAGATAGTCAGATAGGTAGATAGATGGATAGATGGATGGTTGGATGGATGGATAGATGGATAGATAGACAGACAGACAGACAGACAGACAGATCTTCAGGTGTTCTAAATAGGTCAATTCATGGGCAAGTCTTACAGACCAAGTGGAAGAAACAAGCAGATGGATAGAGAGATGGGTTCAATCGATCAATGGATGGGTGGACAAAAGGGCAGCTGGGCAGATAGAGAAACAAATAGATTCACAAGCAAACACATAAACTTAAATAATAGATATGTCAAAAACAAAAATTATAGTTGTATCGATGGACATGGACATGAACATCACTAAAATTAACTTGCTAGTGATTTTTATCTCCACAAGCAAGATGTGTCATCCTCTGCCAGCCAGCACCCCACAGGAAATCCCAGCGGAAGGTGCCGCAATTACATGCTTGGGGCCTCAAGAGCTTCTTTGGCTGGGATCGGCAGTGCTTCTTGACGGCTTCTATGCGCTGCCTCAAATCAGATTCTAGATGGGGAGAATTTACTATAATAGGCTGACAGGCGAAAACCATACCCAGTAGCAACCATAGTGGGAAATCCAGCCCAAACAATTGTTAAATTCAACATGAGGAGCTCAGACCACCCCCAAGATTCCATAGTGGCTTGGGTAACAAATTCGCCCTCGATGGTTACCTCGCACTCCGTCATCTCGGATTTCAAAACTTCAACCTCGCAGATGAATGTTTCCTAAGGGCGGCAGATATTCTGAATTAGAAAATATCCCTGGGAGGCAGTGCCCATAGACGAGACATAAATACGAAGAATACAAAGGGATATCTAAGTTACGAACCATGTTTCCGGGTCATACCCACAGCGTTTGAAGATGTCTTCCAAAAGCCTTCTCTTGTTGCCTTTTGATTTCCAATCATTCCAGATCTCATCGCTCACCTTCTTGCTACCATCAGCCCGTTTGGTGAAAATTCTCTTGGAACGACTCCGGATGGCTTCCGGTGTCAGATGGTGTTCATGTGTTTTGAACCGTGGGGCCAATGCATCACTGATATCTGGAATCTCATCCCAATCAGCCTCAAAGGGTTCTGCCTCCACATGGGTCCCCGGATAACTTTGAATGGTCCCATCGGAATTGGAAATGGTTCCTGGGCTAGCATTTGGGGAATCTGGGTTTGGCAACCTGTTTGGCTCAGCCATAATTGCCTTTCTTTCACTCTCTGACAACACAGGGATCCTGGCCACCTGTGGTGCTGAAGTGGGGCTCGGTTTGGGCCGGGGCTGTTGTGGAGTAACCAACCCCTGAGGTGCATAGACGTTGGAAACCACTGTCTTTTTGTTGGAAATGAACTCTTCATCCGAATCGTTGTCACGTTGGGTCTCTGGGAAACCTGTGGGTACCTCTGCGCTGGCTGAGGCTGAAAGACTTTGCTGTGGCGAAGGGATCCCCTTCACTGCAGGTGGCAGGGCCCCCTGCTTCACAAGGGTCTCCAGTTCCTGAGATGATGGGGCTGGCAACTATGTCATGCCTTAAAGTATGCCCCAATGTATCCAAACATTATATAACATATCCCCAAGCTCAGTCATGTGGATGTTAGCGTGCATGAACCTGGATAAGGGTATTGAAACTGAAAACGTCAAATATTGTAATAAAAAACAATTGTTGCTATTTGGTTTTACTGTAGCATGTAATGTTCCCTTACAATCCATAGACTTGGGTTTTGACGGTGTCTTTTCACCAACTGATGGGGTGGTAAACTTAAGTAACCTACTTGCCCATATTACATCCTATGTTCAACAGACCCATTGGAAGTTTGAAGACAGGGCACTGCTAGATGCCTTTTCATTTCTTCTTCGGAAAGGGACTCCACAGCTTGTCGTTCATAGTGTTGCCGAGCTTGGTCACATGATGTCATCAATGTCGCACAAGACCACGCTCGAGAGAGCATGGGAACCATGGTAGAGCTAAAGGTAGCAAGCTGCAATGGCTAGTGTAAAAATATATATGCTTCAAGATCTAATGTCAAACAAGGGCAGTTGGAAATTCGCCATGTTGACTCTGTGTGAAGTTAGTTGCCATCTCACCAACCCCCATCAAACACATTGCCACTAACTTTTTTTCGTACCTGGAGTTGCACATCTTGCAATCAGCAACGTCCTAGTGGTGAGGTACCACAAGGCTAGAGGCAGTTCAATTGGTGGGCTGAAAGGAATGAAGATCGTTTCCCAGCAGCTTCACAAAACAACAGTTAATTTATAGGCTTGTACTTTTTTGACCCAAAAACACCAGTCGGGGAAAAGCGCCGTTTGGCCGCTAAAAAGCGCCGTTTGGCCGGCAAAAAGCGCCGCTGCCAAAATCTATTTTTTTACAATATACCCCATCAGACCCAAAATTAATATTTAGAGACCCTTTCAATCCACCGATTGGCTGTCCAAAGGGTCCTCCCATAGCTCCATCCTATCAGGAAACAATGCCCGGTATTCATCGGGCAGTCTCAAGTCGTGACAGCCCCTCAGGTACTGAATTGTGCCTCCAAGCTCTGCTGTGGACCAGGAGCTGCAGGGAACGGCTTGGATAAGCCTGCTTGTGGGAGTCTGCATATCCACCTGGGCATTGCGACAATGGGAGAACATCAACATGAACATAGGAGACAATGGGACATAGTACATGAACATGGGGAGAACCACTCAAAATGATCCCATACTGTTATTCTAGTTCGGCCCAGGCAACAAAAACACGAAAATATTGAGAAATATATTGAACACTAATCTGGTTGAAGGCTCTGGTAGCTTCCATGTGGGTTCTTCTTCACGCATGTGCATGGCAGCTTGAATGATTCTACCAGCAAACTTAGCTGGATAGCTCCTGAGAGTTGGTTTTGCAAATATATCATTTTCATCCCTGCAAACTTGTACAAGAAGAACCCCAAATTGTAAATTGGCAAAAACAATTTAACCACTTTCTGAGGCTAGGGGCTGCGTTGACTTTAGTGCCTTTGTACCATGATAACGCAGCTTCCCTTTTCCATCTCGATATTTGGTCGTAGTCTGCACTTCTGTAGGATTGAGTTTACGGTCAAGTTTTCCAGTGCAAAGTAGCTTCACAGCTTTCCCATTAGATACCAAAAGAGTTCTTTTGGGCGAGCTCCCACCACACAAACGCATCCACATCGCCACTCGGTACACCTGGCAGGGCAGGTAGCATCAGCGAAGAGGACAGGTCACACGGGGGGAAAGGTTGCTACCATACCTGAACCCAGTTCAAATTATTACGAGAGATATGGTGGAAATATTACAGGTTTGTAAGTTTTGGTTTCTTGACTTCGGGGGTTGCAGCATTCCAAAACTTCCCCACTAACATGACTACATGACATGGCCTGGTTTCCTGCCATCATCAACTTCTTCAACGCTTCCTTGATATACTTGTAGTGGAAGAAAAGCGATGAACCAGGTTGTTCAATTATGAACCGGACATTCATACACCCAAAAAGTAGAAGCAAAAGACCAGTCCTCCAGGGTTGATAAATTCGGGCTCTTCTTTAACAACACAACAATAACAACAACATGTCCCCAAATAGACAGATCTGATTGGACAAACCCTGTCCGGCATGCCAACTTGTTAGCTTTTCTATTTTGAACCAAAGTCTCATCACCACCTGGAACTAGAATACTTCTTTTGCTGGTGCCAATATTGATGCTTATCCATGTTGAACAGGGTGGTGCAAGCATGGCCACCAGGACGCCAAAAGATGACTGCATGGCCAACACCACGGCTAACCTCACAGCCCAGGTGGAGGCAGGTAGTGACATTCCAGGGTGTGTAAGAAACAAATCAGATCTATCAGTGGGAAAAAAAACAATACAAAACATGCCAACAGAATGGAAACTCAGGGACGCAAAGCCACTGTCCCCGCAAAAGTCCATTGAATTGCGATGGGGATGTCGACGATGACGACGATTTGGTTTCCGTTTTGGGACAAAACCTCTTGATATTTCAAAGGATGCCACAACCATGCCAATTTTGGCTGCAAGGGAAGAAATCCTTCCAAGTCCCGAAAAGTATTCGATCATCTCCCATTCTTCCCTCCCAGCCAGCGGTCCCGCCACCAAGCATCCACATAGAAGCACTAGTAAAATAAAGTCCTGGGATGCCAGACTGGTTTGTAGTCTTCCCCATTGAAAGGAAACAAGTGAGTATACAGCTTATTTCTGGGTGTTCTGAATTAATGCAGCTCATGGGTCTCTAGGTGCATTGATTGCCACAAGGCGCCGCAACACCAGTGAAATTTCATCGGGCGACATGGTGTCAGCTGCGGTTTGCTGCTGTGAACTTGAAAATGGCTCCACACAGTGGTGACTTTCCATTGCGCTTGCAAAAATATTTTTCCTTCTCACAAATTATGTGTTGACTGTTGACATCGTTTCAACCCCGGAATAATAACCAGTCACACCCATGGCCCCCTGGCCCCTCCCAGTCGGAGCAGCTAATCATGCAGGTAGCACCACCCTTGGCGACAAAGAACCCACGGCTAGCAAGGAAGGCTGGGCCGCGTCTTGGCGGCATTCAAGACGTACCTGTGGCAGAAGTGGCTGAAGGGAAAAACTTGAACTGGGCTACCAAAAAGGGTTAGAATCACTACAGGTGGTATATTGAACTCTTTTAAACTGTAATGTTTCTGGGGGCTACGAATTTAGCAAAAGGGCATTTGCAAAAATAGCGAGTCTGTACTGGTAAAGTAGCTATGATATACCCAGGAATTAAATTGACTCTTCACAAGATAATGTTTCTCCAGGTCGAAACGTGTAGATGCAAACCGATTCAAACAAACAAAGTTTTTTTGCGCATTCGATCAGTTGAAATTTTGGCTAGCCATGTTCAGCACAGAAAGCCATCTCTCTTGAACTTGTACCCAACAGCTACGACCCAATGAAGCTGTCCCAGCCCAGCATCATCATGAGGGCCCATACCAAAAAGGCGAGGGGAAAACAAATCAGTTGTTTTGCTACTTGACCATGTTGTATCATGTTGTATCTATACATTTCATCAATAAATAATAGTGTTCACTTAACAACATGTGGGGCCCTTGGGTAAGACTGGGGCAGCTCCAAAGATAAGGACATCTAGGCCATTCAGGCATCCAGGAACCATACGCTAGAGGCAGCAAGCCAAGTATCGTGCCGACAATGGCAGCCCGATACAACCCCGAATCCACACAAGCATTGCAGCTTGTATGCCACCACAAAATGCCAAGCTCAGCAGTCCTTGAAGTAGCTACCTGGGAGTTTTGATTCAGAACCAGAGTGCCGGAGTCTCTTGAGTCTCAACTGAAAGGTGGTAAGGAGGGCTGAAACGATTCAGGGGTTTGAACTGTGGGAAGGATGAAGCTGTCGGAAGGATGCTTGAAACAATACCATCAACAATGCCATCGGGAATGAGGATTGACATGATACTGCAAAAAATATACTAAATTCACCATGGGACGGACAGAGTCATAGCTCAGAAAATGTGCGGCCTTCTCCTCGGCAATCTCCATGAGCTCTTTTTCGGAAGCATCGGGGACCTGCCTGAGATCTGTGAAAGCAAAGTTCCACCACTTGCCCTGCAGGGTACCGGGTATTGAAATGCCAGACAACATGTAAAGCTCTCACCCCAAAAAAACCCAAAACCACTAAAAACCTCAAACATTTTGGTGGTTTGGTGATTTGCTGGGGTCCACTAGCTAAGCTTGCTGTTGCCCAGTTCGACTGTGAACCCCAACAGGCTCCAATAGATTCAATAACTTTTTGGAAGGTAGCGAGCCTCCACCTTGGAGGAGTTCAGGGCAACCATGGGCCAGATCTGATTCTCGTAGACCTTCCTCAAAACGTCAAACCTCAACTTTGCTTTTCCTGTCTTTGGTGCTGCCCTCCCTGCAAAAGTTTTCTTGCCGGTGGCATCACCATCCTCCTCAGCTCCACCTTCGTCTTCAGCCTGCTCTGGGGCAGCTTCGCCCTCAGCTGCCTTAGACTTCATCTTCTTGCTTGCTTTGACCTCCCCTGCTTTCTCCCGCTTCTCCTTCTTCGCTGGCTTCTCGGCCTTCTTCTTCTTCTTCTCTGCCTCTGTGTCACCATCAGCATGGGAACCTGCAGTCTTCACCCGCTTGGGTTCCGGTCTGCTCTTTGCTGCAGAGCGGGGACGGACTGACTTGGTCTTGGCCTTGGCCTTGGCCACAATGGCCTGGGGCGGCTGCGCAGAATCGTCACCATCCGAAGCTACTGCCTCGAAAGCATCAGAGAGGTTCTGCCGGGCATCATCAGACTCACTGGCAGCATCCGAAGCCACAACTTCAACGGGGGCTGCCATCTTGGAACGCTTGGCCCGTGTGGCAGCACGAGCAGCAGGGCGCTTGATTGCGGTGGGTGCCCTGCCTCGTCGAGGCGGCTTGGCTGGTGCTGCAGGAGCAGAATCCATCTTCTGGATCTTACCCTTGGAATCTTTGAAGGCATGCTGGTCCTCCCTCCGAACCATTGGGAAATGATCACATTCAGAATCATCACCCAGGTCCTGTTCAAGGTCATCGGGTCTGGCATCCTTGGGCTCCGGATCAGCTTGGGTCATCCCTTCACGGGGATCGCCGGCAGCAGGAAGATCATCGCCAGCTGGGCCCTCATCCTCAGGGATATCAGCAGGAACCTGGGATTCCTCAGTCTCAGGAACTTGGCGTGGATCACGCAAAGGCGAAGGCGTCATCTCACCCTCCAAGGGCTCAGCCGCCTTCGCAGCATCCAACACAACCTGGCTCTAAACCTCCTCAGGCATGGGCAAGGTCTGCAAATTATCAGGGCCTTGGATGGATAATGTCAAGGAAACAGAAGCAAGCTGAAAGTTTGGGCTTGGGGGTTGTACAGTGTAGGCTCTTACACCCATACAAAATAGACAACAAAACAGCGACCAAGGTTTTACTATACGTATATACATTATAAAAACAATGACATGATGATGATGGTGATATTTTTTTGGAAGCAGAATAATTTGTTTATCACTTGCCTAGTTGCATGCATGCGTGGGCGGTGGCCCTGCGACCTCCGGCACTTCAGGCTGCTCAGCGGAAGACTTCGCCGCAGAAGCGTCCAAGGCTTGCTTGCGCTTCTCGAGACAGTTCCTGGGGATGGGCTGCAACAAGTTTTTTGATCAAACTTTATTAATGCTACCGCCCTGTGGGATGCCCCCTGTTATCTGGACCAATGCAACCCTATAGAATTTGCAATTCCTCATCCTAAAGTATCTCAACCCCTAATCTATGCTTAATTGGGGGTAGTTTTGATCGGCTCATGTAACCCTTCCTAATCAATGAAACATAGAATAAAAATTGATTTACCGATAAGCACCGAAAGTATTTCCCCACCTGCCAGTGAGGGTTGTTAGATTTTATGTCAGTTGCCTGCTCCTCTCCTCTCCTCTCCTCTCCTCTCCTCTCCTCTCCTCTCCTCTCCTCTCCTCTCCTCTCCTCCTCCTCCTCCTCCTGCTCAACCGCGATCCACGCTCAGTGTTCCCTGCCGGACCTCCACCACGACCATCCCCGCCCAGTGTTCCCTGCCGGACCTCAACCACGACCATCCACGCCCAG